TGTTGCCGCCGCCGCCATGTTGTGGAGACGCTGTGTGTTTCGTTGTGAAAGCTAAACTACTTTGTTTGGCCTTCCAAAAGTGGACACGACTAGAAATCAGTGGTTAAGTTGTATTTACAACACTGTTCCAGAACACTTCAACCCAAATATTCAGATGTGTGCAGCACATTTTATGGAGGACCGTTTCCTGATCCTGGGAGAGTAGACTACAATGCCGGCTGTTCTGACTCAAAGACTGTAAGTACATTTTTTATATTTAAAGAGTTTTTGTATTTTATATATTTAAAGCAAGTTTTTTGGGCAGTGTAGAGTAGGGCTTGTTGTTTGTCATTTCTCCGATCACAAATGCAGACATGGTTTTATGTTTACGCGGCGCGATGCAACGCAAACGCTAAAAAGAAAAGTACAAGTCATTATAATCCATAATTATGTCCCCACTGGATGCAACGAATGCCTCGTTTATAATGTGTTATCACAATATGGTAAGGCATCACAATACGGTAAGGGGCGTAACATTTCTGTCACACGCTTGAGGTATTCGGCCAATCACAACACACTGGATAGCTGGCCAATCACAGCACACCTCACTTTTTCAGACCGATGAGCTTTGTAAAAATCGACGCGTTTCAAAAAGGCGGGGCATAGAGGAGAAACAATAATGTACAGTATGTGGAAAATAATGTGTTTTTTTAACCTTAAACCGCATAAACACATTTCATTACACCAAATACACAAAATAATGTTCTTTTTAGCAGCATCATATGACCCCTTTAATGACCCTCCATGAATACTAATTCAGTGGTTGCTGATTATGTCCCTAGAGTAAAGCATATGCAAACAGAAAATCAGAGGGCCTAATACTGAGCCCTGTGGCACTCCATGCATATTTTTGATAAGATGTCTCTTTATTTACTGTACACAAAGTGGTAGCGGTTTGATAGATATGACATAGTAGTAAAAGAGAGAGATGTAGCCACAGATGAGAAATGCAGAGATGGCAGATTTGATTTTGGTCTATAATTAACAGTTTCTATTAGTTCAAACTGTGTTTTTGATAACTGCAAGCTTAAAAGTTATAGAGATTTGTCTTAAAGGGGTCATATGATGCTGCTAAAAAGAACAT